AATTACGTATAAATATTTTCGTTAAATTGAAGTTCTGCCGCGTTCACAGTCCATATTAAAGTGGCGGATAAATCGTAACCCCCCCCCCGTAATAGGTCGAATGCACCTGACACGTCTTTTGCCATTGTTTCTCCTCTTTTTAGATTGATATTCTTTGCTTTCGTAAAAACTGTACCATTCAGATCTTTCCGAAGGTGTAAATACCCAAAAGTACAATCGATTTTGCCCAAGCGTGCGATAGGCTAGCCATCCAACAGTCATTTGGTTAAACAAGAGAGTACTCCACATGAGGGGCGTCAGCACAGGACCACTTCTGACCCAACCAATTTCATTGACAATTTCATGCAGCTGAACCTTGCGACGAAGATGAGATGCCCACAACTTGCTTCAAATTTCGCAATGTCGATCCAGCAAGTCCTGCTATCAAGAATATTCACCGCTAAATCTTCGAAGGCAGCACGGTTACTCGTAATTTGAACTGTTCCTATTGAAAATGCTGTCTGCCATGTCAGGGAGAGTCAACGACGAACTAAACATCAGATATAATGCAGGAACAAAGCATTTGTGGGAATTCACTCTTCCAAATCATTGCATTAGCGGTGAAGAACGTCACTAATGCTGACTAAAACGATCATCTATTGGTCAGGCTTCCCGTGGCACGAATCTAAGAGAAGTTAGCTTATCCATTCTTCGTTTCTCTAAAAGAACGACTTTAGAAAGGTACTATGAGAGAAACAACATTATTTATTGCCAGCTACAACACGTTGTGTATTCTGTAGATAGACGAGGGTGCTTATTGGATATTTCTGGAATTATTCTTGTTTCTTAATCGACCGGATATTTATTTTTGCCAGGGATCACTCCCGCTTGATATCGATGCTCAAGTGCGTGTCTCGTACGATTAATCGCCATAAGCTTCCATATCCGTCTCTTCACTCATCGTTTCACTTGAACCCCACGTCTTTTGTCTAGGCACCTGCAATTTCTTAAGTACCAGTCGACCATCTATGAAAATCCATCTGTCACTTTCAGTCGCACAGTGTGATCCGTCAAATGCCCTTCCGTTGCTTTTAACACTGCTACAATATCCGTCACTCCAGTGTCCGTTCCTCGCCATCATTTAACAGCCTGTTGCTTACGAAACTCTTGACTTCTTCTTTCCGTTACTCGCTGCTACATTCTTCATGTTCTTCGTTATTCTTCGTCGAAGTCAATTTGAGGGGGGGGGGCAACCGTACATGGTGGCTACAGTGCTCAATTTTTATGCAGTGCGTATCTCTGCGTGTTTTTATGGTCGTCACCTTGAGTCGTTTGCGCAAGCACAACGTCCCTGGTTTGCATTGGCAACAGCTTTCAACAATTCTGCTATAAATTATGGGCTGTTGCATTTCAGAAGTAAACATTCCTCTCGAAAGCCTTTATCTGCCTCTATTTTGTTCTTTTCGTATTGCCTTCTGGCTTCCTGGTCGATCAATGCCGTGTTTCAGCTCTCACGCAAGTAGTTCACAGGTTTGTCCACCAGGGTCAACCATTTTTTTAATCTTCACATCTACGAAAGTCACATGCTCTCAGACGAGAATAAAATCATTCCTTATGCAGTTCTACAATTAGCCCTCATTATGAGTCAAAACCAACGCTGCTGTGAGCATTTCAACAATTATTCTTTTTCCTTTGTGAGCATAGCAGTTTCCATGCCATACGAGAAAAATGACTTGACCGAGGCAAGGTACAAGCATATTTTTCAGGAAACGGCTATTCCTTTCTCAGCCATAATATTTGACAGATTACCAAAAGTACTGGGGACAAGGTCGAACCTCTCATTCAACTCTGATCGGATGGCGCTATTGCAGGAGATGACTAATCCGTGAGGAGTTTAAACTGGTAGACTTTCTATATGGCTTTCATTCTTTGTTCCAGTTGTAGATCAGTACGCTTGATGGGTTTCTCATGGGCTTAAACTACCGGAGTTAAAATTGATATCGGGAGATTTTTTCTCATCGATTTCCTTGGATGCGGAATCCGTCAAGGGGCAGAGCCCGTTTCTAGTAATACTCACTAAGACAATAGCATCTGATACTTAAGGTCAGTATGATATCTAACCGGAGGTCTTAAACTGTGCCTTCATTTTCGAATGTGTGCAATGTTGACACAATACCTAGGAGGTCGACTTCGAACTCCGGAGGTAGCGGATTCGATTTCATTCGAGGGCAATCTTTGTCTTATTCATGAATTCCGTTGAGCAAGGATTTTACTACACATTGCTTCAGATCGTGGTTGCTCAGTCGGTAGAGCATCGAACTCGGAACTGACAGGTCCAGCATTTAAGATCGGTCAGACTCCCGCCCTTCTTCTTTCCAAGGTTGATAAATGAGTAAAATTTTGTGGAAAGAAAGCCAGAGAATACAAGCTACGTTTGTCATATGGCTGCAGACTCTGCCTTCAGAAATAAGGCACTTCTGAGTGGTAACACAGAAAGGGAGGTCAGCACCGCACCATCAACCTCATGAAAAAGGGCGCCAAAACGGTTCAGTCATGAACGTGAATGAAGACCGATGTTCGGATTTGATTTTCGAATGAGATCCTTCTCTTTGCCTGGGTCAGCGGTCAGCGCTGCTTCGGAGAATTTAAGAGAAAAGTAGCGGATAAAAAACAATTACTGCACTAATCCACAATGCGCATGTTTCAAAATTTTCTATTTCGCCACGGATTGAGTTCAGTCATCTTCATAACGACTATGAACTGCCTTAACTACTCCGAGCATAACAGAGGATAAATAATTCCTAACCTGGCAATACAACGGTGCGTGTGCCTTTTACTGTTTGCACGTAAAAGTTGTTCTTGCTTTCCTTTCCGGACTGGAAACTTTATCATTTCCTGATAAACTGATAATGGATTGCTTTGCTCCATGAGGGAAGAAAGAGAAGCCGAGTAGATAAGAGGAATAGCTCTATTTTGCTCACCAACGGTGCTGGTACAAATCGAAGAACAGGATAAAATTTCCTTCTTAATTGTTAATTCCATTGAGCAAGGAAATCATGCAATCGTTCTTCAACGCGACCAGTCGACAAAGGGGTAGCAAATCGTTGATCTGTAACAATGGGGAAAGCATGGTGTAAAGCATGCAAGAGAAACGTTCTCTCTGTCCAATACGGCTGTATTTTGCCTCAGCCCATCTAATAGCTAACTGTGTGATCTGATAATCATCACAAATGACTACATCGGCACACTTCATGAAAATGAGTAAATTAGATGCCAATCTAAATTAAAAAATCCGGTTTATTGCAGAAGCGATTAGTGATTAGGTTTGCCCTAATACCATAACTTAACATTCACTCAAAATTTACCATGCCATATTCGATAACAAGCTGTCAAGATGTGATAAATCGAGGAATTCGATTCAGGCCCATTCAATCCTGTCCGGCTCCCACTCTATGCTTCCTATGGGAGTATGTGCCCATCAATTCAAAATTTAAATTGCATAATCTTTTAAATTCATTTAAAGTGATCAACCTTCAGAAACGGTTTACCTCACTCCACTTGTGGATAAGTCATGCCAGATGGGTTCTCGCAACTTTAGAATTCCGGACGTTAGGCAAGAAGCTGATATTCGCAGCTGTGTTGCATACGGTAACTGTCAGGTCAGAAAGTCCGCTCCTTGTATTAATTACAAGGCAATATCATCTTCAGGCCTTCGTCTTTGCTTGGATAGGCCATATTTAGAAAAATATCTTCCTACAGTGCAGTACTAAATGATATTGGCCATTTTTTTATTTTAACGAAGGTCAGCGTTTGTTCTGCAAGTATTCCAGG